ACCATTTTAGGAAAATTTTGTATAAAACAAAAATTATAGATAATATAAGAAGTAACTTTTATTTGAAGAATTTTCTTCCCCAAACGTAAATAACAGATATATTCCATAAAATATAAAAATGACCACCTATAAAGTACCCCCCAGATGTTCCGACTCTGCTCAAAATCTAATCAGTTCATTGGACGCTGGAACAAAGCTTAAGTTTAAAATTTGGTGTTTTTCTGTATAACGGTTCATGAGTTATGTGACAGACACACACACACACACACAGACATCATCGCGAAACTTTTCAAAACGGATTCAGGGGACATCAAAACATAAAAATCCGTCGAAAACTCGAGGTCGAAAAAAATCATGATTCCTATACTTTCCTTATATCTGTATACAGATAGGAAAGTATAAATAATTTAACAATCTCGGGGCGATCACTTCCGTCACAAGCATGGGCGTCGTTACACAATTCTATAGGGGGGGGGGGGGGGGGGGCAAAATTTTTAAAAAATTTAGAATGTTTATTTGTTGGAAAACAAAGGAAATGAAAAATAAGAGAATTTTCTTATGATGGATTTAATTTTTCTGTGACGTCATGACTTATAGCTTTTCCAGAAATAACAGAAAATCGCAATTTATTTTTTATTTTTAAATGAAAACCTTTTTTTATTGAAAATTTGAATATCTGGGACATTTTTGGGGCGTATATTGAACATTTTCTGTAACATATTAAAAAAAATATTTTCCAATATGATGGTCATTTTGACAGCTGACAGAAAATTTTCAACACATGATTCTTTTCTATAAATGTTCCCAAAATTTAAATTTTCAATAAAAAAGGGGGTTTCTATTTAAAAATAAATTGAGATTATCTGTTATTTCCGAAAAACCACAAGTAAGCCATGACGTCACACACCAATTAAATCCAGTATATGACAGTATTTGTTCCAAGCTTTTAAACAAAAAAGTTTTCATTCCAATATCTCAATTAACAACGAAGATAAAAGCGGATGGAATTATTAAACGGTTTGCTAATAATAAAAATTCTTAGATACGCCACTGGTATACGGTAAATGGATCTCAATGGGAATTTTGAAGCTTACAAAGATTTTATAAAGATCGTACATTCCTATATTTTTTCCATAAACGAATTAATAGTGACATGTTTAGAAAAAATATTATTCAATATCGCGGCCATTTTGACAGCTGACAGAAACTTTTTGAATACACGATTATTATATAAAAATGTTTAAATTTACAATAAAAGAGAGTTGTTTGCATTTAACAATAAAAAAAATTCGATTTTCGTTATTTTCGGAAAAACCGGAAGTAAGCCAGGACGTCACAGAATAATTGAATCCATCATAAGAAAGTGTTTGTTCCAGTCTTTCAAACAGAACAAAATTATTCAGATACCTCACTGAATAATAAAGATAAGGGTAGTAGAACTTTAGTAGTAACCCTAACAATGTCACTGACCCATTTGACAGAACTGATACTTAAGTTGTCATAACAAGACTCTAATAAATAAAATAACCAAACAAAAAAGACAAAAACTAAAATTAAAAAAAAAAACAAGAAACTTAAAGCACATTTTTTAAAAACAAACAGAAGGTGTGATATAAAAGAAAAATATGAACATAATAATATAAAAAATAAAAATTTATAAAAAACAAAAACTTAAAAAAACTCACTCAAATATGTCAATGAACACAAAAAACACTAGGAAAACGCAAATTTTAAATTTCTTTTTTCTCTACTAAAAATATTGATAACGGAAAACATAATTTATTTTTCGTCAGCCTATTTTCATTCATTATTCACTCCGTGCGTGACAGCAACGCCAACTATTTTATGAACTAACGGACGATATTTGCATATACTGACAATACAATTTTTAATAGAGTTCGTAATTAAGAAATATATGTTAATTTTAATTTTAAAACAAGTGAAAAAATTATTATTATTATTATTATTATTATTATTATTATATATTTTTATTACTTCAGCTAAAAAAATCAATAAAAATTAATAATAAAACATAGGCAAGTATTTACGAGAAAATGTATGAGATCTTGCCTAAGCCTAATAAGTTGTCATTGAAGAATAGGTTAAATAATGTCAAAATAAAAATATTACCATTATATAATAACGTAGAATTAAAACGTAATAACAAAAATAATTGGTATATTTGCGATTGTAATTTATATTTTCTTCATTTTTAGTTCGAAAGAACTAATACTATAGAAATTAATGAATAAAACTGGTTTCCTATCAATAAGTCACAAGATTGCATGTCAGCCATATACAATAATTAAAGTCAGAAATCTAATCATTTGCTAAACATTTAGGATTTAAGGGATGTTAAAGAATATCATAAAAAAATAATTTATTGCTTAATTATTACAAAGTAAAGGTTTTTGTTGTTCTTATTATACAGCTGTCCATTTATTTCTTTTATTTAATTTCGATTTTGCTACGGAACATTCATATAATTAACAGTCTTTTTGCTAGTATAATTTGCAACATAGCAACTCCGGTTGCTCATTTTATTGTTTTTACATATTTTTTTAGTAAAAAGTAAAATGTATACGTATATTTGATACGCCAAAATTACAAAATATCGCCCTAAAATACTCGAATTATCCGCAGCTTGCGCTAGTATCGCTTTTCCTTCCCCTACCATGACTTCGCACTGATCGAATAGACCGCAGCCATGTTTTAACATGCCTTAGCGTTCCAAACGTTCTTTCGATTAACTCTGTCGTTGGTGGAAGAGCCATAAATATTTTTTAAACCACTTTGTATGTTTGGATAAAATTCACAATATTTGGACGCTATATCATTAATGGAGAGTTCATTTGTGCAGAAAGCTCTTTCGTATTCCAGTTTGGTATTCAGCTTCAAAATTGTCAATTCCAAATTTTTCCACCACTTTCATTTTCTTATCGGTAGTGAAAAAAATATTTTTTATGTTTTTGGGATGTAACAAGCTTAAGGACAAACTAACAAAGTCTTCGGAAAAGCGGAACCCAGAAATGCAATAAATATATTCAACCTATATTAGCCTGAATATTATTTCTAGGAGATTGTTGTTCGTAATACATTTCTTACGCGTTGTTGATTAAGTCGTAAAAGCCAGGGGGGGCAACTGCCCCCCCCCCCCCAAACGACGCCCATGGTCACAAGGCTGATACCTGCTATAAGTACCCATTCAATTACGGCATAATCGCGCTTCAAAGGGATTAAAATGCTAAGAAATATTTCTAGGAATAAAAATATTTGTAAGATTTTAGATATTCATTAGAATGATAAATACTGAAAATGCATAACTTTTACAAATACATATTTAGATCAAATATTGTTCCTATAATCTAAAATTTTAAATTGTATAAAATTATTTTTTTTATTGTGGTACTTTTTAAATTTTTTGTAAACAGGTTGTTGGGTTAATTTTAACAATTTAATTTAATAAAATATGTACAAAATGGTATAAACTCGGTTGAGAATTATAGAAGTTGGATTAAAATCAGAATGCCATTCCCATGCATTTGTTGTTCTGTGTACATAATATCTGTGATATAAGTCCGCATATTTGGTGGTTACTTTTCACACCGATATAATTTTTGACTATGTATTCATAGAACTTAATTTTTTTATTTTTATTCAGAGAATCTTCAGTTGTTCTGTATCCTATTCTTAACGAGATATAAACTACATGTACTTTGCGCTTTTTTCAATGTGCGCTTTTTTCCATGTGCGCTTTTATACCCGTGCGGTTTTTTCCGTGTGCGGTTTTTTCCGTGTGTGCATCTTTCCACGTGCGTTTATATGTCGGTGCGCTTTTTTCTGTGATGATATTTCCTGTGCGCTTATTTCCTTTGCGCTTTTTTCCGGGATTCCTTTATTTTATAGTAAATTTTCGTCTCTTTTCGATGGTACTTGTGTTAATTTTCTATCTCGATCCGTTTTTTATACAGGGCATTTTTCCAATATCATGTAAATGGTCTCAATGGAATAAAAGATTATTATTATATTAGGCATTCTGGTGTCTTGGAGTGCCAAGAGTGGCTCTAAGTTAAAGTTATGTTTTGTCTTAGTTTATCAAACACAGGGTTGTTATTATACAGTATGGTTCAAATGAAAGGAATAAATTCATTATAATGGAAGTAGTTGGTTTTTCGAAAAAATGCTCGGACAGGTCAATTTTGTTTACTTAAAGCGCAATTTTTTAAATAAAATTCAATTTTCCCCCACTTCCCATTTGTGGGCAGTGACGTCATTGACAATTTTTTTTAAATAGCAACCCCAATTTTTTTTTCTTGATTTTGATAGATCTTGCAATTTCCTACTCGGAAACATAATATTTGAAATATCTGACATAACAATTTTTTTTGAAAAAAAGTCATTTAAAGATCAGATACATAAATTTTATGTTATTTTGAAACACAATAAATTAATAAAAGATAATTATTTGTAATTAAGTGCTTAATCTAAAAAATAAATAATAATAATAATAATAATAATAAAAAGAATTTAATGACAATTTCACAAATTCTTTTTATTATTATTATTATTATTTTTATTATTATTTTGTTAGATTAAGCATTTAATTACAAATAATTATCTTTTATTCATTTATTGTGTTCTCAAAATAAAATAAAATTTATGTATCTGATCTTTAAATGTCTTCTATTCAAAAAAAATGTTATGTAAGATATTTCTAATATTATGTTTCCGAGTAGGAAATGGCAAGATCTATCAAAATCAAGAAAAAAAAATTGAGGTTACCATTTAAAAAAATTGTCAATGACGTCACTGCCCAAAAATGGGAAGTGGGGGAAAATTGAATTCTATTTAAAAAATTGCGCTTTGAGTAATCAAAATTGACCTGTCCGAGCATTTTTTCGAAAAACCAGCTACTTCCATTATAATGAATTTATTCCTTTCATTTGAACCATACTGTATATATAGTTTTACTGAATTTTATAATGTTTTCTATATTTTAGATAACCATATACAACAACAAAATGTAAAACAAATAAATAGTGGAAGGAAGAGGGTCTTAACTAAAGAATCACAGGATCCATCTAAACTGTTTGGTAGGTTATTTAATATAAAACATAATTAATGAAAATAAGACGATAGATTGTGTACACACTTCAGATAGCAAAATGGAGAGTGAAAGATATTTTTGTTTGTTTTTAAAAGAAGTGTTTCAATATTATTATTATTATCATAAATGTTCTTAATTAGGCAGGAATAATTTTTGATACATTCCTGCTTTACTTTAAGAGCTTTTAAAATCAAATATATGAATATTCCCCCTGTATGTTTTATGCAGAATCCTCGAACACATATTAACATGTAATTAACACTTTTACTACTTCGTTTATTACAATTTTTAACATCTTTCTTTCCTAACTTTAAATTTCTCTATCTGTAACCTTTAAACCTTACTAGGCCCATTGTGCATCCTCCTAAATAGATAGGTACCTCTTAGTTCGTGATCCATACAGATTTGATGTAGTTGACAACGTCGCACTTAATTTAATGCAATAATATACAGGGTCATTGAATAAACCATAAAGAGAAGAGCTTGAAGGTTACAACGAGTATACATGAGGAAAAATATGTCCCCCTTTGTATGATTTTTGTTTTATTTTTATTTATTTTTTTTTTGTTCATGAAAGCCTAGCCCTTTTTTTTAATGTTCATCATTATTATGTAGAAGTGAATTTTATTGTTACATAAAATTTTTTCTGGATAGATACTGAAGAGATACCATCCAAATTGAGGAGAAAAGAAGTTACTACAAAGTCTATTAGAAAAGGATTGTTTTCATCAAGAGGGGACCAAAATTCAAGATCATTTAAAACACGAGATTCATCTTATGGGAAGCAAAACATGCCGAAAAAGGTTTGTGTAATAATTCATTTCAAATTCTATAAACATTACAATTTATTTCTGTTGATTTATATCATTTTCTTGGAGAACCCTGTATAATTAAAATTATTTTTAAATTGTCCTCTTTTCTAATATACAAACAGATTTAAGAAAAATTAAATAGTTTTGGCTCCACAAGCAGAAACGTTACCGGTGATTCACCCTGTATACAATATATAATAAAATACATAGTACCCTATTTAAAAAACCTAATTTTGATTTAGCACTTTCTTAGAGAACCCTGTATAATTAAATTATTTTTTCTTTACTGATGTACATCTTGTGGTTAAAACAGATTTAAAAAAAAAAACATAGTTTTAACACCACAGGCAGAGGCGTTACCGGTGGCGCACCCTGTATACAATAAATCGACGCCTGATTTTAATAACATTGTATCATCGTTCGAAATATACAATAATATACAGACTGTCCCATTTAAAAAAACCTAACTTTTATTTGTATCACTTTCTTGGATATCTTTTATATGTTAAGATCTTTTGAACGGTGTAAGTCCCTTTTTATTTTGGCCTCAGTTTTCTCCCTGCTTCGAGCTGTGAATCTTCAAAGTATCGCCTGGCTTAAATAATGTGGCCTAATGCCTATTTTCATTGAATCGTTAACCTTAACTTGACAATCACCAATTCATGTGTTAGGCTACTACGATGGCCTCTTCAATCATTAGGTGATTCATTTCCCCAAAATTGCTGAGTTGCCGCTATGCTTGTATTTTTCCCCAGATGCAGTATTAATTTCTTTAAAACAACTTTCAGAAAAATATATCAGTATAATCTGCAATCATCTTTCGACTACACCAGCAATGTCATTAATGTAAATTAAAAACAGTAGTGGACCTAGAACACTACCCTGTGGCACCCCCATATTATTCTCTATAGTATCTGAAACACACCTTAACCTTCTGTTTCTTATTTTCCATATAATGACCCTAACAGTCCAGTGCACAACCCTAACTAGTACAATAGGACTTGCATATTTTATGATATAATAATATTTTCCCTAATTCACCCCTTTGTGAGTGAATTTCCATCTCTTAAAGTCGACTGAGCTTGTGTGGGGAAGGGACGACTATCATTTTATTTGCCGTGGCGCTCCGGGGCGACTTAAAGTTTATTAATGATACTATTTAACTTACAGATGAGGAAAACCTCACCAACCATCATTTTGAGTGACTTCTGCAGTTAATTCCACGCTTTATAATTTTCTTTAGCTAAATTCTGTTTGGACACGCTAATCGCCTTGGTGTTTTAATCGAAATTTTAAATTTCCTGTAGTTATTCTTGTAAAATGTTAATAGTTTATCCACTTACATTTTTAAAGTGTCTTAATTCTAATTACTCTTCATATCTTTCAATTTTGTATTGTAAACACTTTCGGAATGTTGATGTAACTCAATCCTGTTGGCATTTTTCTCAACACGTAAACAAGGTCTGCTTGGGACAGACATTGCATCCAATAATAATATCAACATCTTCTGGAATCACACTATTTGCAACGACCCCTAATGTAATAGTCGGAAAATTACTAACAAATCACAAAAACCAGTAGTGTAAACAACTTGAGTATTAAGTCTCCAAAAAGGGGAATGGGACGTTTCAGTGCCGCCGTTTCAGTGCCGCCGTTTCAGGGCCGCCGTTTCAGTGCCGGGACGTTTCAGAGCCGGGACGTTTCAGTACCGGGACGTTTTAGCGACGGGACGTTTTAGCGACGGGACGTTTTAGCGACGAGGCGTTTTAGCGACGGGGCGTTTCAGTGCCATTTTTATTATAATTAAATTAGTTCAGGTTTTATATTTCTTATTATTTTAAGTCATATTTATTAAAGTTTATTTGTTTACTATTTTTTTTTTTTTTTTTTTCTATTTTATTTTTTAATATTTTTTTTATTTTGATCTAATATTAAAATACGTTGGTACACAAGCAAACTAATCTGAGTCGTTAGTTAAACAAAAACACTAAATACAATACAGGGTGTCCCAATTGAAACTGACACATTTAAACGTGATGATGAGTTTTACCAAAAAATTCCAGTTGTTAAGGGCAAGGGGAAAATTACCTATTTTGTTTTAATATTTTTTTAATGTTAACTTATATTGTTATCCAGTTTTAAAGGCAAAGGAAAAACCAACTATTTTTTAAATATTTTTTTATTGTTAAATAATATCAAAATATGTACATAAAATCAACTATTATCAGTTGTTAGTTAAACAAAAACAATAATTATAAAATATATACATACAGTAGAACTCCAATTATCCGAACTCCGATTATCCGAATCGCCGATTATCCGAATCACAAATGCGCGTCAAGTCTTGACTTGACTTGTCTTAACTTGATGATTTTTATTTCTAAACTTGTACATAAGTACATTTTATTTATATTTAAAACATGTGAAAATTTCATGTTTCTTTCATTTAATTCAATAAAAAAATAGTGCAATATCAAAACGTAGCTTTTATTCTCTCCAATGGCAATTTTTTTAAAAAAAATCCGATTATCCGAATATTTGATTATCCGAATGGGTCCCGGTCCCCATTAATTCGGATAATTGGAGTTCTACTGTATATACAATATAACAAATTTAGATTTTATTCAGTCATTTGGTAGTGGTGGGCGATACCTCTCAAATATTCAATCGGAGTTCTATTCCCATACTCCGTGACAATTCTTAAAATTCGTTCATCGGCATCTCTATACTTCAATGGAGGCTGATTCCCAGCAACTAATTGTTCATAATAAGTATCTCGCCCCTTTTGAACGTTGCGTAAACCATCTATAAATTTCCAAATTGTTGGATGTTCCATTCCCAGTTCCGATTTCAATCTTCGATTGGCAGCTTCGGAATGGTTATTGGTTCGATCATCTCCATCAAGAGTTCTTTCATATAAATTCCACATTTCTGGTGGAAACAGAGGTTCTCTTCTCCCATTTCCACGCCTATTCATGCGTCCTATATAGTTATCCTCTAACCAGTTTAGTAGAGGATGCAATTCTCCAGGTAACTCTTCACTAAGTGGTTCCAGGTATTCGTCTAAATCATCCACTCTTACAAATGCTAGAGCAATAATCATTTTAGCGTTCAGGCAAAAGTCTGGATCAGTATTATACCGATTGATAAAACCCAACCCTGCAATATGTTTTCTCATGTTCTGTGCCAAATGGAAAAAGCAACCTTTAATGGAAACATCTGGAAAACACTGAGCCATTGCACCGAAAGCAGCCTGTTCAAAATCACAATTTATAGAGGTTGGATTTAAATTATTCTGTAGTCCTTTAATTAACTCAAACATTCTCATATAGGTTTCTCATTGTTTATTGGGCAATAGAGCGTAAAATATTGGTAAAACTCCTCCAAATATTTGTGCCATTATGGTATATACTTGAGCAAATAATGTGGGTGCAATTGAGAACGTACCATCTGCATACCATGTAGATGCCTGTAAGTGCTGTATCCATGTTGGTCGTCCAAAAATTAAAATTCTCGATGGCCCCACCCCACTATCACAAAGTAAAAATGTTTCTACTCTGTTGAGCTCTGGGAAATATTGAGTATATGCCTCAGGTAAGACCAGTTCCTCTAAACTTACAGGTGCTGCCGGTGCTGAATTTGTTGTGTTCCTTTTACGCCTAACAACTTTTCGTAAAGCAGCAATATTGGGAATTGTGGCTTCGGAACCTTGAGTTAGGTTCGTTAGACAATTATTAATCACATTTATTGTGCCTTCTACGGTATTTTCTGCTCGAAGTTTGATTTTTGTAATAACTTCTGCAACTTCCACTCTTGCTGCCGAGGAGGAATGAGAATGGATATTAATGACTTTAATAACTTCTCCATTTTCGGTATGAATCCGCACTTTACATCGTCCTTGTTGCTCACATCGCCAAAATTTAATACGCTCATTCGTTTTAGAACACTTTTCAAAAGTATATACAAAACCGTTATGAGCAAATTTTGCTTTTCCTCTTGAGCTTAAAATTGTGGGTTCCATTTTAACACTTATTTTGGTAAAATATATATAAATATAAAAGTATTGTCACTACTATCAACAGCAAATACTACTTTCGAAATTATTTAAAACAATGAATCAAAATTTGCCAAATATTTCTTTAAATAATAATTTTACTTTGCTTTCCTTTACTTAATGTATAGTTAATGAGGTCCACAAATAACACATTGAAATATTAAATTTGTTTTGAAAATTTATAATTGCAATTACTCTATCTCTTAAACGAGATTATATTGTTATAATGACTTAGAAACGTTGACTAATTAACCTAATCCTTGGATGATTGTTCTACCTGTCAAATAATGTATGTAGGTACTCAAGACTAATGACTTAGACACGTTAACTAAGTAATTATCTTAATCCTCGGATGATCTCTTCTACCTGTCAATTAAATTATGTACTCAAGACTAACCTTGTTAGTTTGAATTCCTAGAAATTAGTTTATTTTAAAAAATAAAAAAAATGCGTTTCGAAAACGAAAAAAAAAAAAGATTTATAAATATCTATGTGTAAAATCAAACCATGTATATCATCTAATTTTGTATACCTAACTTTGTATATCGTATAATTTAAAAAATGTCATTTGCTAAAAATTATCATTATTTAATAAAGCAATCTTTATGGCACTGAAACGTCCGACACTGAAACGTCCCGGCACTGAAGTGTCCTGGCACTGAAACGTCTCGGCACTGAAACCTCGGCACTGAAACAGCGGCACTGAATCGGCGGTCCTGAATCGGCGGCCCTGAAATGTCCTAGACCCTCCAAAAAGCACTTGCATCGGCTTGTCTAATCGTTCCTTTTAATGTTTTTACTACAGATTGTTTAATTATTGACCTATCAATAAAGTATTTTACTAACTGATACCTCACGGTATCATAACATGGCTGTCTGTGTCGAATTCAGATGGTGTTTTTTTTTTTAATATATCTATGTTTATACCACCAATTTT